GAAATTTGCGTCGGGTTACGACCAACTCGGGATATGCCCAGAGTCACGGAACGGATTAAGTTCGTATCCTGAGGTACCACTGTAACTTGCTCTGGAACATAGGCTGTACACTTTCTTTGGCTTGAAATGATCAGTATAAAAAGGAATTCTACCATACATATAGTTTCTGCAAAGCAACCTATGAATAATTATTTAAAATGCCAAAAGCAATTACTTCTAGCAAGTGTAAAATGTCATCTTCAGTCTCTTTAACATGGCAGTTACTGAAACAAAGAAAAACCTCTTTGTTATATATGATAAAAACTAGGTAGGACAATTTAATTTAATGACTAAGTTTCCTTCACCAATTCCCCATACAGAAATACCTTGAAAAAATACTGCCTAAAGAAACTGCTGTGGGTCAGTTTTTGAATATATTAATGGGTTAAAGACCTTTTTAATATGTTGGAACCTCACATCATCCATCTTATTACTGCTGAGAGCTGTACCTGAAAATTTACTGTCAGATCAAATTCTTTTTTTTAAATCTGAAATGCAAGTCTGATATTTTATTTTCATGAAGTCTGAATGCTGCAGCTTAAAAAAAGCTGTTTACCCTCATTCCAGACGTGAACTTTGGAAAGGTGGCAGAAAAAACAAACTAAACTGCTGTGCTTTTTTTCCCCACTGGATAGTCTGCATTCCTTTAAACTCTCTGAGATCAGACTTTTACCTCATTATTTTTCAAATTATTTGCCTAGAACTTAACCACTTTGACTCCTGCTAGAAATGAATCACCTTGCCATTCATTTTTTAGGAAAGCTGTTTCGAATTTTAAAATTTTGAAGTTATGTATTGTATTTTGAGACTTTTAATTTTTTCATTAAAATCATTTTCTTCTCTAATGCTGTTAATTTTAGTAGTAATTTCATTTAGTAATATCACCTTTTCTATATTTGAATATATTCATCTCTGTATGTTTTCCCTCTGTATAGTGATACCTTTTCTTTCCCTCATTAGCTTGCAAATAGCAGTTGCCTGTTTATATTCTCTAAATTCCTGCTCTGTGAATCTGCAGCTGCTAACAAAACCCTGGCAAAAAGTCCAGGACCTGTATGAACTAACTTTCAGAGCAGTTTAATGTGATACTGTTGGATGCATGCTAATAAGAGACAGAAAAAGTTTGTGGCTAAGAGACCAATTTAGGTTTGCTTGAAATTAGGCTTGATAGAAATACACTAGTGCTTAAAAGTTAGTGAACCCTTTTGAATTTTACATATGACCGAAAACATGATTTGTTCTCCACACAAGTCCTAAAACTAGATAAAGAGAACCCAGTTAAACAAATGAGTCAAAGACCTTTTACATGTTCATTTATTTATTGAGGAAAATGATCCGAAGCTACATATTTGTGTGTGGCAAAAGAATGTGAATCTCTAGGATTATCAGTTCATTTGAAGGTGAAATTACAGTCAAGTATTCCAATCAATGGGATGATAAACAGGTGTGAGGTGGGAAGTCCTGCCTTATTTAAAGAACAGAATTCTGGGTATTCACTATCAAAGTCTGATCTTCACAAGACATGGAAGTGTGTCATGGCTCAAATAAAGAAAATTTCTGAGGACCTCCGAAAAACAGTTGTTGATGCTCACCAGGCTGGAAGGGGTTATAAAACTATTTCTAAAGAGTTTGGACTCCACCAGTCCATAGTCAGGCAGATCATGTACAAATGGAGGCATTGTCATCCTCCCCAGGTATGGCCAGCCAACCAAAATCACACCAAGAGCAAGGTGTGTAATAATCTAGGTGGTCTCAAAGAACCCCAGGGTAATGTCTAAGGAACCAAAGTCTCTACTGCATTGGCGAATGTCAGTGTTCATGAGACCACCATCAGGAGAACACTGAACAACAATGGTATGCATGGCAGGGTTACAAGGAGAAAGCCACTAATCTCCAAAAATAGAGCATTGCTGCCCATCTACAGTTTGTGAAAGACCATATGGATAAGCCAGAAGGCTATTGGAAGATTGATCTGTGGACAGATGAGACCAAAATAGAGCCTTTTGGCTTGAATGAAAAGTGTTATGTTTGGCGAAAGGGAAACACTGCATTCCAATATAAGAACTAGGATGGCTTGCCATCATTGATGGAATTGTGAATTCTGCATTGTACCAGCAAATTCTACAGGAAAATGTCAGGGTTTCTGTCTGTGAACTGAAGCTGAAGAGAAAATGGGACATGCAGTAAGACAGTGACCCAAAACACACAAGTTGTGTGACCAAAGAATGGTTAAAGCAGAAGAAAGTTAATA